CATACACACACACATACACACAGATCCTGAGGATAGAAAAAAGGGAAAAGACAGCTGTGTCTTAATGAAAAGTGTGAATGTGTCAATGAATGCGCTCTGTGTGTATTTGTGATACTTAAGTTATCGCTTGCTTCCATGCTTGATTGGGTGAGTAAGCACACAGTGTGCGCTCCTGTGTGTGTCTCTCTTTCTGCATCAGTTCAACCCCCCACTCCCAGCCAAATCATTATATTCATTTGTTGTCACGGACTTTGGTAATGACTCAATGTTCCCTGCTCTAATGGACAAGCATTGAGACGTGACGTCCAGGAACACACAGCGCTGTAAAGAACAGTCTTACCCCAAAGCAGCAGAAAAGGAAACGAGCACAAGACATGTCCAGACCAGTGAGCATGTTTAAGACTGTGGCACCTTCCAAGCCCGATAAAGAACATTTTATGTTAAAGAGCTGCAATACGACTAAAAAATAAAATCTTAAAATCTGAATCTATATATAGATTTGTGTACATTTTCTCCCCAAATAACTTCACAAAGGAATTCGGAATAATAATAAGCTTTTAATAAATGCATTTAGTTATCCACAGATGCATACAAACATTCAATCATTACACATTATTAAGCATTTTTAACTACTTGAACAGAAATTTGTGTTTGGTTGTGAGTTTGTGTCTGTGTTACGAGTACAATGTGTGCATGTTTTTTTCAAATAAAGACTAATTCCCGGGAGTCAAAATTTTCTAATACAGGCAGGGGAGAGGAAAATGTACTTTTTATATTTGCTGAGGGACAAAAATGCCAAACGCGATATTAATAATTCTCACCTCTCTTTTCCCCAACATTCAGATAGGCAGACTTTTCTGTAATACCTGCATATTTGCAGGCCGTCTGGTGCATAGGGGAGTGAGCTTAGGGGAGAAGGTGTGCGTGTAAATGTGAGAGAAAGAGAATATATGGAGAGAGAGAAAAAGTAAGTAGGCATCTGTATTCAGTGAAAAAAATGTGGTCTGTTTGTGTGAGCGTGTGTGCATGGTTCTCTATTCAGTGTGAAAGCGTGAGTATGGTTCATGTATGTGCACCTTGGTACGTGTTAAGGTGTGGATGTGTGTGTGTGTGTGTGTGTCTGTGTCTGTGTCTGCCTAGGGAGATGGGCTGATAACACATACAGATGAGGCTCCAGCACCAATACGGCTGGCTAAGCACCTCTGGTTTCTGCTTACCTCTGCTCTGCATTCCCGCTTATTGGAGCCCTGTGTCGGAATATTGGAATTTGAATGGGAATCCTTAATTACAGACAACAATGCACTATCAATGCATCCTGATTAATACCATGGTCTGCAGAAAACCAGACCAGGAATATCACAGTACAGTATGCATATGAGTGAAAAAAAACATAGGCTACATATAGGGTATACCATAAATTCTCTAACAAAAGCAGATATTTAAATAATAGCTGGGAGTGCAAAAATACCAGTACCTGTACTTTAATGGCTTGCATGGTGAAGTCAGTATAATTCAGCATATTTTCACAGCATGAATTCCATCATACATAAACCAGACTCAACACTATTACTCTGAGTTTCTCTTTTTAAGATAAATACTGTTGTCACTTTCTAATTGATTGAATGATTTTGTTAATGTAATCAACACTTATTGCAGTTGTTTCACAATAAAAGCCTTTCAGGCAAGAGAACACATTGAAAAACTGAAAGTGAAATAATAATTGACTAAAATATAATTAAAGAGAGAATTTAGAAATAAAAGTTAATGAATGGAAGAATTTCGAGTATTTGAATGAATGTTTCTCATTTTGAGACGTTATTTACTCACATTACCAAAGAAACAATATGAACCCAATTTCTCAAATCTAAAATCTTTACATTAGCATATGCATGTAAATTAGCCATGTATGTATCTACAGTATAGGTAAATTATGTGCGCACACATCAGAGCACTGTATAGGTGACTGTGAATGTGTGTGCATTTGTGTACTCCAGTGCCTGTAGATATAAACATTGTTGTAGCAGGAAGGCTGGGGAGATAAGAGTGTGGTTGGGAGGGGGGAGAATGGATGGATGAGTCGAGGGAGGCAGCAAGAGACGGACGGATGGAGGGAAAGAGCATATGGAGAGCTGTGGATGAGCATTAGGAGCCCATAAAAACAGCTCATTAAGAAGTTCAATCTGTTCATCGGAGAGAGAGATGGGGAGGAAGAGGAGAGGGAGAGAGAGGAAAGTGGAGGATTGCAGATAGAGGGGGGAGGCTGGCAAGATTTTACCGTGAACTGACAAAGCCGAGAACACACACACAGGCACACATGTGCAAGCATGCGCGCACACAAACACACCTGGCCACATTAATCTTTGGAAGCAGGCTAACAAAAATCCACCTGATCCCCTGGAAGCTACTTGAGTGAGTATGTATGTATGTGTGTGTCTGTAATTTGTGTTGGAGCTTGTGTGCGTATGTATGAATGGATGTGTTTTCAGTGGAAGAATTACGGGATGATTCCTGGAAAAACAGCCTTTCACTGCAGTCCTTTAGTCTGTTAGCAGGTCAACTCAAGCCTTTACTACAACACAAAGGGGTGGAACAGTTGTGATGATACGTTTCAAGTTTGGCTTTTGTATGTAATAACTGTAACAAGCAAATTTTGAATCAGACATTTTTACAAAATAGGTGTGATATCACCATCACACTGATTTGCACCTGTGTTCTCTCGTCTCCTTCTTTCATTTCCCATTCCTTTTTCTACTGATCCATTGTGCCTCAAGAGGTCTTTTGTTATTTGCCAGGCTTTCACTGTATCAAGAGGCTTATGTTCAAATCTGGTAACAACATTTCAGCCATATTTGGTCTCATATTCTGTGTTATTTTACTTGGAACAAGTTAAAACATTTGTCAGTAGGTGTAAATAATTTTCCTAACGCAGTGACTCTTCTTCCAAAATAGTCTATTACAAACAAATGAAATTGTCACCCACTGGAAAAAAACAACCAAATAAAACAATAAAGTCAAAATTTGTCTCTTTCTTCTTTCCTTCTCCACCCAGAACCAAAGAGAACGGCTTCGAACGAGACAGTGCCCTGCACCCAGATGTTCACCCTAGCAAGCGGCCCTGCACCATAAGCCCTGCCCAGCGCTTCAGCCCATCTAATGGGCTCTCTTACCAACCCAATGGCATGCCCCACCCGGGCCCCCTCCCTCCGCAGCACTACAGGCTGGATGACATGGCCATTGCCCATCACTACCGTGACACCTACAGACACCCCGCCTCCAATCATCGGGAGATCCGGGAGAGAGCCAGGCCTATTGGTGAGAACATGGGGGAGGAGGAAGGGTGCATGTTCGTGTATGTGTCCATACATTCAGATTTTTAAGCAAAAAACATGGCATAATGTCAAAGCTTTTACTCTGTTGTAGTACAGAGAGAAACATTAAGAGGGTTTTATATATAAAGGTAAACAGTTACCTAACAGCCTAACCATTACATAACAGTTCTCAGGGTTCTTTATATACCACTTCAGCCTGGTGGATCCTTGTTGGTACAGCAGTTTGACAAACAAGTCTCTCTGACCGCAAGGCCAGCCCGCTGCCTTCGAGAGCACAAACCAAAGATGAGGCCACTGCAACATGGCAGCTGACTGAAATAATGCGTTGTGAGATGTATGAGCGCACAACATAAGCACATTTAGACACAGTGTTGTTGCATTAGAGACATTTTTCTGTGTAGACTGAGCCTTGATGAAGCTGTAATGACGACTTTGGCTCAGTTCTAAAAATAGTACAGACATTTACCATGTCTCGCTTTGTGATGGATGTTTATTGGCCTGGAAGCTCAGTCATTTGAGTCCTGCCCTGAGGGTGGGAGAGAGATATGGAGACAGCAAAGAAAAGGGGGAGTGAGGGAGGAGGAGAAAGAAATGGATGGAGAGAGTTTCAACCAGGGACCAAATAATGGATAGATCAAAGGAAGAGTAAGGCAGTGATGGAGTATTGTTACATTGATCCTCTGTGTCATACTAATTTGCCCTTTATTTATCTTTCTATCTGTCTATCTATCTTTTTCTCTCGCTTACAGGTATGCATACAGGGACCAGGCAGGAGGAAGTGATTGACCACAGGCTGACAGACAGAGAGTGGGCTGAGGAGTGGAAGCACCTTGACCATGTAAGAAAAGTAATAACATTTTTTATTACTATACTTTACAGTTCTGCCTCTGTAAGCAACAGAGATTAACTCATTTCAGTCACATTAAATGGTTATATGTCACATTGTACTGTAAGTCTTTGTTACACTGCCCACAAAATAAGAGTGATATTTATGTGTTTTGTGTACTATTTAAACAAACTGTTAAGTGAGATCAACTCAAAGAAAGGTTTGGCATTACATGCATATCAAGACTATAGTTCTTTTAATATAGAATGGAGACAACAATGTGTATATGTATGCTTGCGTGTAAATATGTTTGTTTAAATATTGTCTCAATATTGATAAATTATTGTTTGCATGTGCACCTTCACTGTTGTTAATCCAGTCCTTTTAATGCTGCAGTCTGTAACTTTAAGCATGTTCAAACTACAATATGACAGCATATCTAGTGTCACATTGGTGATGCTGTTTCACCTCCTTGTTGTTAGTATGCAGTGAACATTTTATTAACCAATCAAGTAATGTGAACACAAATGCATTATTGACTGAAGTGATTAAGTAAGATTTCAGCCGGAGATGTGTGACCTGACAAACCTGATCAATATTTCAAGGGTGAAAGTTTATTTCACATACTGTTTTACTACCAAACAATACAGATGAATGTAATAATGATACACTAACTAAATTAACAACAATGGAAAATAAATAAATAAAAACAACAAATAATGATAGATGTTGCTTTTAATTTAAAACCCCATCCTCCACCACTACACCCTTGCTGAATTTAAATCAATTCATCTATGTCTATGTGTAAACTCAGCGCCTTGCCCACTCCCTGTCACCCCCAGCTGCTGAACTGTATCATGGACATGGTGGAGAAAACAAGACGCTCGCTGACAGTACTGCGGCGGTGCCAGGAGGCTGACCGTGAGGAGCTCAACTACTGGATCAGGAGATACAGCGACGCTGAAGAGCTGAAGAAGGGCGCTGCCAGTGGGCAGTCAAGGCAGCAGAGCCCGGCAGCACAGGAAAACGCAACACCAGGTAGGGGAACACACATACTGTACATGTATTACAGGTATTAAAGGGCATAGTGGCAAAGTAATTAGTATATGTATGTTTACAAGGCTGCTTACAGCCATGTTCCTGTAAGTTTAACTCCATTTCAAGGCCTTCTTGTGATGTTTTTATTGTAGGACAACATGTCTCCACTGGTATCTCCACTAACATCAGCCTTTCTTTGTGTTTATGATAAATATCTAAAATATGAATTCCACTTGCCCTCTTGATACTCGTCCCACTTTATGTTAAGATGTAACTTGTGCAAACACTTCCTTGCAAATTCTCTCTGAAATCAGCTGTTTTCAAACCACTAATAAAGAGACGTCATACATGAAAGTGATTAAGTTATTTTCTCCAGCAGTTTTATGCCCAGAAATCCCAATGTGGTGTACCCCAAGGTTCAATTCTAGGTCCTCTATATTGTCAAGTTTGTACATGCTGCCACTAGGCTATATCACCTATGTTATCCTGATTATACAGATTACCAGTTGCCAGTTGTATGTATCCCTGTCCAATGAAAACCTGAGCCATTTTACATCAACTTATTCTTTCAACCTTCTGACGGAAACATCAGGGTAACCAACAGGTTCTACAACATGCTGAGTTGTTCCATAATCTTTTGGACTTTGTCATGCAAAACATTGGTTGATCTCTGATTACCATGGTTTGTGTCGCCCTAGAAATCCACAGGGAGCTGCTGCACCGGCCTGTGTCTGGCTACGTCCCTGAAGAGATCTGGAAGAAAGCTGGTGAGCCTGCCGTCATCACACACACTCTTTCTCCCTCTTTCTCTTTATCTCTCTGCAGTTTTTAAGACATTTTTTCTCTGTAGAAATCAAGGCCATCTTTTTCACCCAGATGACTCAGGGCTGGAAGTGGATGAGAGGCATTCATTTAAACCCCATTCTCCCCTCTCATCCCAATGTAGTCTGCTGTCTGCAACTTTCTCCCTTGCTAGACTTGAATTAATGTGTCAGGCTGCTGTTAGAAAATCATTTATATTTGATACAGTAGGAAGTTAAAAAATAAGACTTTCACCACCACAAACTGCACACTCCAAATATGATGTCAGGTCTTAAAACGATTTTATTGCGCCAGTCAAATAAGGGACATAAGTAGCTTTTACAGCTGCTCCAGTGGTTCTGCTGTTGAAAGTACAGTAGCAAGACTTGGTATCTTTTTGCTTTTGGCACTTTTGTAATACCCTTAGCAACATACATTGCAGCTATTCTATTTAACGAAAGTGTTGTAAAATTGTAGAGGGAGATTTGTAGAGCCAGTTAAAATCAAGTATTGAAACTAATTTGTTGTTTTAACAGCTTTCATTAGTTGCCATTCAATTTTTAGCGTACACAAACTGCATTCTTTAAACTCATGAGTTTCGCTGCAATCACCATTATCGCTGTCCTGAAAAACTGAAAGAATTTTCCGCTGAGGGTTCAATGCTCGAGGAATCCACTTTGTATTCACCGTCAGTGATACAGTATATCTGCTTTTTAAACCCCTTGGAGAAAAGAAATTGTCCCCTTGCTTGACCAAGCATGATGTGTGAGATACTCAGAACAAGTAATATGCATTTAAATTGAATTGAGTATCACCATCGGGACTCAGCCTGCTCTCCAGTACTCTCCTCCCCTCACCAGCTTTGATCGATCTTCCATCTAAGGCATTTGGTGTGTAATCACAATTCCATGCACAAGGCATATATCACACGGCACCCGGGCAATTTCCATGACTTCAGGCAGCACAGTAGGTTAAAGACAAAACCACCCTGGTTTAAAAATGTAGCTCAATCACAATGGAGAGAAAATATCTGTCTTTATTAAAAGCGCACATTCAGTCTGATATTGAAAACATTTTACATTTGTAATACAAGTGTAATGTGTACAAAGCAAATGAAGTAAAGTGAAGCATATTTGTCAGACATAAAGCTGTATCTATCTTTTGTCTGAGGGATAAATGGTGCCCACTCTTTTTCATTCTCTCTGTATTCTTCTCAGTATTTCTGGCATCCGTTTCCCTTCAGTCGCATATATTCTGGCTGAAGAGAGACTGATCTAAATGTGACCCAGGGAGGATTGCAAAATAGGATTTTTAACACAATGGAGTGCAGCAGTGAATACATCTGTTTGAAATGGGCAAAATGTTTACAGTTGGTGATAAATATTCAAGCACCTTGCACGGTGTCCTACCGGTTTCCCACTTCCCCTCACCACATGGGCCTCTGGGATCACAATGGAAATGCATAATTTAAATATAAATTGCCTGATTTGCATACACAATTAGTCAAGTTACAGGCTTGATGGAAGCAAACAAAAAGCCCTCCTTTTGCTTTGACGTTCAGTTGGAATTCCACTGCTTAACACCCGCACGGCAAGGTTATTCGTTCCACAGAAGAAGTATAAAATAACAAATTGCTCCAGCTAAAGCAGGTCTTCCGAGTGATTACCTGCGATTAATTGGCTCGTTGTCTTGAAGATATTTTTCAAATTAAAAAGAAAAAAATGTTTTGCTCATCTTTAAATAAGATCCTTTTAACTTTTTCACACCTTGATGCATTAGATGATCTAATGTAACTTATTAAACATGCCACATTCAGTTACATAAGAATGCAGTGGGTGTATGCAAAAGTGATTGGTTCATAAATATAACTTCCTCAATGCCTTCATAATTAAATTAAAGTAAGCAATACATCATGTGTTAATATACCCACTATCCTGTGCTTATCACATTTAAAAATTGATGCCCAGGTATTACTATATATGGAGCTGATCTTACAAACAAAAAGTTATGAATATGTTTATATTATATGTTTTCTCTGCTGTGTGAATTAATTGAATCATCTCCAGAACAAAAAATTTATTTTCTCTGATTTTGTCCTCACATGAGTGAAATCTGTTTTATGGTTAGGGTTTCTGTTTTGCAGATGAAATACAGATTTAGCAGATGAAACTGCTTTTACCATTTATCTTTTAAAAGGCACAACACTTTATGTTATTTGTAAGAGTACAAACATTATTGTGTTTAAAATTCTTGTAAATGGCACAATGGTTTTGAATGGCTTTATGTAACATGCTTATCCCCATGTAAATACAAAAGAGAAGGGTCCTTCCCTTTGTGTGAGAGATGTTTATACTCAGAAATAATAACTGTTTTATCCTGGACAAATGTAAGAAAAAAATCTTAAATTTAACAGTATACTCAATGAAAATAAACTTCCAACGACAGGATGATATAATACACATTATATTGCAGGTACGGGAGGCTTGACTTCCTCTGTCTCCACACTCTTTCCAGAAGAGGCAGTGAATGAGGTGAAGCGACAGGCCATGTCAGAGCTGCAGAAGGCTGTGTCGGAGGCAGAGCGCAAGGCTCATGAGATGATAAGCAGCGAGCGGGCCAAGATGGAGCGTACGGTAGCCGAGGCCAAGCGGCAGGCGGCCGAGGATGCTCTCTCCATAATCAACCAACAGGAGGACTCCAGTGAGGTAGGAACATACACAGACAATTTAGTAACATCAAAAGATGTACCCTCAATCTTTCAAACACATCACGAAAACTGTCAACCTCCTCCACTTTGATAGTTGTGGTGTTCTGTCTTTCTTTGTTGATGATTTGAAGATATGATCAAATCATCTTGCATCTTGCAAAGCAAGGTCAATCAGGCATCTATTAACCTCACTTTCCGCCTTCCTTTTTTACTCTTCCGTCAGAGTAGCTAGCATGTTTGGAAAGGTGTTGCCAATTCAGCTGAGAGGAAGTAAGGGAAGGCGCTTTCATTTGCTAATCACCATTGGAGACCTTGACGTTTAATCAGTTAAGTGAGAGAGAAATATGGCTCACATCTGTCATTAATTGCAGGAGTGATGTTTATGAGAGAGAAGCGCCCCAGAGGAGAACTTTCAGGAGCTGTTTGTAACCTTGTTCTCGGGTTTCCTGTGGATATGCAGCCGCCCTGGCATGCTCTCCCTGCGGTTTCCAAGATATACTGTATAAGAGGCCCTAAGTGTAATGGTAGATGGGTTTTTGATCTGTCTGTGGTTTGTTTTAAGCTTAAGTGTTGTAAAAGCAGAGGCTTGTTCTGTTAATGTGCCGACTGGTGCACTGATATCTGTTGCTAATCTTCATGTCGGGTTCACTAGTTCTCTGTTAGATGTGGCATTTTGCTGTTACAAACACGTGATGATCTTTGATGAATAGCGGCATAAAATAAAACAAACAAGGGGTCCTAATGACATTTTAGCGATTATCAGAAGTTCATCAGCTGAAATGGTTGTAAATCCTTCTGCTGTATTGGTTTTGTGTTAGTTAATGTTGTCTCTATCTGTCTGTCAGAGCTGCTGGAACTGTGGCCGCAAAGCCAGTGAGACGTGCAGCGGATGCAACACAGCACGCTACTGCGGCTCCTTCTGCCAGCATAAAGACTGGGAGAAGCACCACCATGTCTGTGGTCAGACCCTCCAGGCCCAGCAGCAGCAGGCCAGCCAGCAGCAGGGAAGCGTCCCAGGGTCAGAGACCCCTGCTCCCATCAGCTCCTCTGCCTGCACCCCGAGCAGCGGAACTGGGAGCCCGGCTGCTACCCCGCCTGCTGCTACCCCTCGCTCCTCCACCCCCAGCACCCCATCCTCCTCAGCCCTGGATGGCACACCGCGCTAAGAGACTCACACAGAGGATGGAGGCAAATGTCTCCGGGGCTAAACAGCCAGCCCTCAACCCCACAAACAGCATGACTGTCTACATTGCCTTGCAAAGATGCTAAGCTAACGTGGCTAACAGAAAAAGATGGCAATGCTTCTGTCTATCTTGCAGTGTAGTCATAGAAGGAGGAGGAGAAGGTCCATAATCAGGTCATATTGACTTGCCATGACTTTAAAGAAACACAAAGATATTCTTTGTTTTGAATGAATGAATTTAAATATTGACATCCTTTTATTGTTACACTTGCTATTCTTGTTGTCTGTTTGTCGTCGTGCTTGTTGTTGTTAATGTTGTTGTCATTGTAGCTTATCTTATTTTTTTTCCTGTAAATATTAAGAGACTGAGCAGAGATAGCCGTGAACTCGAGTCAACTCAAGTATATCTGACCTCCCCTTTTTTAATGTTTTTAAGTTTCCATCCTTGAATTAATGCTTATTTCTTCCCTGTACCTGGGACATGAAACTAGTCAACCTCATTTTACCAAACAGCTTACCAAGGGAATATGTCTAGCTAGCAGAACAATGGAAGTCATCAATACTCTTTATAAAGAAAGATATTAGATTTAAACACACTGAAAGACACCGATGGATGGACTGATAAACAAGTCTGTTGCCTGGAGAGAGGAGAGGTATGGACTGAATATCTGGCCCGCAGACCGCCATGAAATGGGCAGATGTGCAGCAGATTGCAAGCAGAGCCAGCTGTTCAACCAATGTTATTTCGCTCTCACTTGTAATAATATCCAGGTCAATGGGCTGGGAAATACAAATCCGTCTCCCTGAAGGATGTAAAAGGAAGAATTCATGGACATGCTACAAAACTTTGCCCACTGCACATGTGGAGGATGTACTGACTAGAATTCGCACGTGCATGCTTGGTGGGTCACAGAAGCTCTCAAACAAGGAAGTGAAGTCATCACCCCACCAGTGAGACTGTCAAATCACCATGACAGCAGCCGCTGGGCCACTCAGAGCTGAGAACCTACAGAACTCAGTAGGAAGCTCATTCTGCGCCCCAGATGCTCCCCTCCTGTCTCAACTCTGAAAAACATTTTCATCTTTCTGTTCTTATCTGTTCTTATTCTTTTTCTGTAGATGTCATGGTGTTTAAGACTTCTGTCCTGTGGTGTCATCAATGGTTATTTATTGTATATGTGTTGGACAATTGTGACAATGCATAGTACTTCAACCAGTCACAACTCCAAGTCCTTCATAACTCTCTCTCTTTCTCTTTCTC